TTTAAAAAAGAACTAACCAGCACAATTATAGAGGAGACAAAGTTTATTTAGGGGCTCACAGTTTCAAAGGTCTCAATCCATAAACAGCAGGCTCCCTTCTTCTGGGCTCAAGGTAAGGCAGGACATCATGGCAAAAGGGTATGGCAGAGAGAACCAGCTTACATGATGATCAGGAAGCACAGATACAAAATACATAACTCAAAGTCACACCCCCAAATCCCACTTCCTCCAGCCACACACTACCACTTCAGTTAGCACTCAGTTAATTTCTGTCAGGGGATTAATTAAGACTCTCACAACCCAATCATTTCTCCTCTGAACCTTCTTGCATTGTCTCACATGAGCTTTTGGAGGACACCTCACATCCAAACCATAATACTGGTATATTTGTTACAGTAGCCTGAACTAAGACATTTAGAAATAACATAAAACAACAAACACTTAGAAATAAAATAAAGCAACAAAAAAAATGAAGTATGTTTATGAGTTCAAAAACAAGAGAACCAAAACCAGGATGCCAAAAATGGAACAGAAACCAAAAGACACATCAAGAGACAAGTAAATGCATGACAAGGCAGTCAACTCAGTAGATGCCTTTTCTTGAACAAGAAAATGGACCAAGACTCTGAGTTTATGGAATTAAGACTTAGTGAGTGGAGCTCAAACTTGATTTTGTTCCTTGCTTCACCTTGCTCATGTGCCTTTGTGTAGGACATAACCTGCACTTCTGTACCCACTAACCCTGTAAAGTGAGAGCAGAAGCTACAATTCAGAGGGGTTTTGGAATGGAAATAGACCTTTTATGCTAAAGGATAGAGTTTAGATGGATATACGAGGAAAGAACACTAAGTCTTAAATCCATAAAGCATGGGAAGCTAATCGTACATCCATGTGTGTACCAGCATTATTTCCAACAAAGCCTGAAAAGAAGCAACCAGTGTCCATCAATTGATGAATTGATAAGTAAAATGTAGTATATACACATTATAAAATATTATTTATCTTTCAAATGGAAAGAAATTCTGTCATTGCAAGATCATGGATGAACCCTGAGAATATTGTGCTAAGCGAAATAAGCCAGTCACAAAAAGACAAATAGTATGTTTTTCCACTTATTTGAGGTACTTAATATATTCAAATTCACAGAAGAGGAAAATAAAATAGTGATTGTAAGAAAATGGGAGGAGGAAGGAATGGGGGAATTATATTTAATGGGCATGTAATTTCAGTTTGGGAAGATGAAAAGCTTTGGAGATGGATGTTGGTGATGGTGACAACAATGCAAATATAATTACTGTCACTTGAATGTTCACATAAAGGGGAGGTAATAAATATTATGTTTTGTATTTGATCACAATTTTTAATAGTTTATTAAATTAATTTTTTTTTTGAAGAGGAAGTTGAAACCAAAATCCTTACATAATGCCAACAGCCACAAAGGGCTGTTTCCTGAAGTAAATCAGGAAATAAGTACTATGGTTCTCAGCAGGGAAAGTGGCAATTAATCCTGATGACTATGGGGGACAATGAATCAAATGAATCCAAAGAAATCAGAAACTCAGGCCTATGTCATTTGTGAATATGTCATTGAATTCATACTACAAGGTGTAGGAACTTTAAATAGAAAAACCCACATGAAAAGAGATCCAAATCCAGTGTTTCTTATAAGAATAGGAACAAGAAAACATGAAACTTCCTCTCTGAGAACCCGCCCAATCCAGAGCACAAGAAACTCCCATGTAAAACAACTCCAGCCAAAGATGGAGTCACAGCCAAAACTTACAAATCATAAAAAACAAAACAAAAGAAAAACTACCTTCCAAACTCCATGGGAAGACAAGATAAGTGCATTGCTTATCTTCCCTCCAGACCGCTCCCCCACCTCCTCCACTGCCTTTTGTTGCAGATGATAGACCTGCCTGGACTGCAACCATGGGTTATCTTGCTCTCTGGCTTCTTGTTGGATCTGTCAGTAAGAAGCTCTAACAGAAGATCAGTGAGTGGAATTCAAGTTTTTGTTCCCCAATTGTCTCTCTTTCAGATGTTGGCTGTGATGTCCCTCAACAGTGATCTTCTCTTCAAGAGCTGCTTATCTATAAACTTTTCCTTGTCTCACTTTCTTTGGGTCAAGGAGAGGTAAAGGCTCCACTGCTGCTACTCCCAGGCTATTGCACCATCCTTTGTGGTTTCCCTGTACCCTGTCACACCTCTGTAAATTGTCCTTCTGTAAATAAACCTCCCTGAAACTATCCTAATTTGATTATGTCCTCTATTTCCTGCTGGGAACCTGACTATAATCATAAACAGAGGAAATAGATTTGAAATGCAACAATTAAAATTTTTTTAAATAGAGAAAAAAAATCAAATGAGTAGGTTTAAAATGTTCAGAGATAAATGAAGTAATAGATACCACAAAGCCAGAACAGTATCATATTTTAAAAAACAAGTATCCCTTCAATATGTACATTTTTAAAATGTGGGAAAAAAGAACAAGTAGATTTTTCAAAGGACCAATTAAAAATTCTGGAAAAAAAGGTTATGATGGATGAAATTTTTTAAAGGAATTCAAAGTGGCTAAAATGTAAACTTTTCATCATCAAGGAGAAAAGTGGCATATTGGGAGATAAATATGAAGTAGCAGAACACATTACAGAGAGATAGAAAAATATGAAAGAAAACTAGAATAAGAAGAATCATCATGCTTTTAATAGGAGGTACAGGAGACCTCCTATTAAAGGAGCAGGAGAGATCAGAAAGAATGGGAACTGGGGCACAAAATTGAAGACAAATTGGCTGAGAGTTTTCTGGGATTGAAGAGAGATTATTTTCATATTTAAGAAACATGCTGGGTCCAGCTCATAAGAACTATTAAATTTTCAGAAAATTTACAAGCCAAGCATTAGCTGCTATTAAAAATTAAATTGCCTAAACTTCTAACTAGAAGATTATATTAGGAGCCAGGCCGGCGCAGTGGTGCACACATGTAATCCCAACAGAAGGACGATGAGTTCAAAGACAGCCTCAGGAAAAGTGAGGGGCTAAGCAACTCAGTGAGACCCTATCTCTAAATAAAATACAAAATAGGGCTCAGTGGTTGGGTGCCTCTGAGTTCAATCCCTGGTAATTCACCCCTCCCCCAAAAAGAAGTTATATTAAAAATAAAAGTAATAAATATTTAAAGCTCATTATTTCCTAGTTATTTTACTACATTTTATTATTATCTATGCTCCTAAAGTTATTTATGTCTATCATATTTGTATGGCTGAAATACAAGGATGGGCTACTCAACTTCTGTTCCAAGTTTTGCATTCAAAGATGTCACATTGATAACTTGAAATACATTGATAACTTGAAATAGGACATAGTGTACATTTTTATATAATGGGAATTGGTAAATTCACAACTCAGTCCCCACTCCCATTCTAGTTGTTAAACATTTACCAGCACTTCACTGTTCAAGCATTAGACATATTTAGACAACTACAACAAATGCTTCTGGACAATCCATGGTGAGTGGAAAACATTAAGAAAAAATCCTCAAGACATTACTGGAAAAATGAATAAAGTTAAAAATAGGAAATCAATAGAGAAAATCAACAAAACAAAAACTAGTTATTTGAAAGGGTCAATAAAACCAATAGGCCTATACTTACGTAAAGAAAAAAGAGTGAAGACACAAATTACTAATATCAGAAGAGAAAGAGTTGACATCCCCAAAGGGTCCATAGACATTGAAAGTCTAATAAAGGAATACCATGAACAATTCTATGCCCACAAATATGATAACCTAGATGAAATACACCAGTTCCTTAAAAGACTTGCAAAACTTCCACAAGAAGAAATAGACATTCGAATAGTCCCATATCTATTACAGAAATTGAATCAATAATTAACTTTCCAGTAAAAAAAAAACACCAGACCCAGATGTGATCACCAGTGAATTCTACCAAACATTTAATATTTCAGAAAGAAATCAGATCAATTTTCTATGATCTATTCAGAAGCTAGAATATAAGGAATCTTCATAACTCATTTTATGAAACTAGCATCATCCTAATAACCAAAGCCAGATAAAGTAATTACAAAAGAAAACTACAGACTAATATGTACCTCTTCTGAACTTAAATGAAAAAAAAATCCTTAACAAAGCATTGGCAGATTGAATCAAGAAGTACATAAAAAGAATTATATACCATGACCAACCAGGACTTATTCCAGGTATACAGACTGTTTCTGAAAAAAGTAATGTGACTCCATTTTTGAGAAACCAGCCTCTATCTCAGAGCAAAGCCAGTCCAAGGAAGGGGCGTGACCCTTGTCCCTGGAAAAACCTACAGAGCACTCCTAAGCACATACCTGCTGAGTTGTTTGTCTGTAAATAACAGGAGAGGTCTGAGGAGCCAGGTGTCCCTGACTCAGTTAGGCTAGGTGAGGACCCATAGCAACTTCCCATAGCAACCTCCAATCAGCATGAGACAGGGAAAATACCTGGGATGCCAGATGACCCCCAAGTAGTTTATGGTGATTGATAACATGTTGGGAAACCATGTAGTTTAGCACGTACACCCCTCATGGTCTAAACCAAATCAGTTCAAAGGAATCCCCCTCTTGTACTAACCAATTACCCCTACCCAACTTGTTCCTGCCAGTGAATGTGCTAATCAATGTTAAGAGTTGTTGTTTGACTTTCCCTCAGTATGGAATGATTTGCTGTGTGATGTTGTGACGCATAGAGTATCCCCCCCAAACCTATAAAATCTCACCGAACAAAGGAGGAGGCTCACTCCATGGGATCGCTGCATTGGGAAAGGTTGTGAAGCCAGGCTCGAGCTTGCAATAAAGAGTCTTGTGTGATTGCATTGGATTCGGCTCCTGGAGGTCTACTGGGGTCCCAGGAATCTGGCATAACAGTTCATCACTTGAAAATTAGTTAATTAAATCTGTTGATCAATAGACCAAGAAAAAAATTATCTGATTATGTCAGTAGATACATAAGAAACATTTAACAAAATCCAACACCCATTTTTTTTGTATGTGTGTTAAAAATTGAATCCGAGAGGCTTTGCCACTAAGCTACATCCCCAACTTTTAAAAAATTTTTATTTTGAGAATCTTGTTAAGCCGCTAAGACTGGCCTCAATCTTGTGATCCTCATGTCTCAGCCTCCAAACTCGCTGGGATTATAGGAGTATACCACCACACCGACCCAACACCCATTTATGACAATCAAAAAAAATTCTCAGCAACTGAAAGCTAGAAGGGAACATCCAATTTGATAAAGAACATCTACCAAAAACCTGCAGCGAACATCATACTTAATGTTGAAAAACTTGAAGCTTTCCTGCTAAAATCAGGAACCAGGAAGGATGGGCTCTTTTGTCACTGCTTTTCAATATCTGGGAATTCTAACTAATGCAATAATATTTTTTAAAAAGAAAATAAAAGTGCAAAAAGATTTGGATGAAATAAAGGAATTTGTTCACAGATGACATGATCATCACATAGAAAATCCAAAAGAATCAACAAAAAAGAACCTGTAGTTAGCAAGATTTCAGGACACAAAATTAATATATAAAAGTCAATCACTGTTTTAAACATCAGCAATTAACAAATGAAATCTAAAAATAAAACCCATTAACATTTGTATCATCACCCTTTCAAAATGAAATACTTAGATATTATGATGATTAATTGTACGTGTCAACTTGATTGAGCCATGGTATGCCCAGATATATGGGTAAACATAAGTTCTAGGGTATCTGTGAGAGTGTTTCTAAATAGATTAATCTTTCATTTGGTGACCTGAATAATGTAAGATGACCCTCCACAATATGAGTGGGCATCACCCGATCTGTTGAGGGCCTGAGCATAACAAGAGATTGAGAGATGATTGAATTTAATGTTTGAACTGAATTTTAGTCTTGTCTTGCCCTCAGCATTGGTTCTCAGGCCTTCAGAATAGGGCTGAAATCTAGACCATTGACTTGTCAGCTCTCAAGCCTTTAAGTTACACCATTGTCAATCTAAAAGACAAGTCCAGGCAAACCAAATGTGAGAATAAAGAGTTTATGCAAGACAAAATGAAGACAGCCACGTAGGGAAGTAACAAAAACTCTAGTTGCTCAGAATAAGTCAGACTTGTGCTCCTGGAATGGCACCTGAAGGCTCTGGGTTTTTATAGATTAAAAAAAAATAAGAAGGAAATTACAGCAAACTGGTTTTATAATTGGATTGGTCAAAAACAATAGCACTAGACTGGTATGTTGTCAGTCACTTAACTATGCTATACATTCCAGCTGAGATTGTGATAAGGAGGAAAAGGCTCTTACTGGGGTGATGTATTATCTTAGGATAACAACAGGTCTGAAGAAACTTGCCATGCTTGTTTCCCACATTCCTCCCCAGGCTAAAGAAATTTGTGACTTCATTCTTGTGACTTTGTAAGTCCTTACTTACCAGTAGTTTTTCTGGATCTCCAGTTTGCAAACAGCAGATCTTGGGAATTCTCAGTCTTTAAATCACATGAGACAATACTTTTAAATTTTATATGTATAATTTATATAATTATAGGGCTGGGATTGTGACTCAGTGGCAGAGCGCTTGCCTAGCATGTGTGAGGTACTAGGTTGGATTCTCAGCACCGTGTATCAATAAATAAAATAAAGGTGCATTGACAACTAAAAAAAATTTTTAAAAAATATATAACTAAATATATATACACTATACACACACACACACACACACACACACACACACACACACACACACACGAAAAGTACTAAGCCACATCCCCAGTCCATAAATACATTTCTAGATATGTGTTCTATTGATGTTTCTATTGAGAAATGAGAATTGCTGAAAAGAAAGCCTTTATCTCCTTAGAGAATGCAAAAGTAACTATGTACAGAATTTTGGTGAACTTATTGACAGTAAAGCCACTCTGATGAGATCTCAGATGAAAATGAGGAATATATTGTTCAACAATGGAGAAAAGGCTATCCTTAATAAAGAGGCAAAGAATATGGCTGAATAGTGTTCATGTTCTAGTGTCTCTGCAAAGTATAATTTATGAGCAATGAAATTAGATATATAATTGAGGAGATCTCTAAAAAAAATATTGAAGGAACAATTTGTTTCCTTCTTACTACTTATAGTAAAATGCAAGAAATAAATTGAAAATGGAATTCCACTGCTAAATGGAATAAGAACTTAAAGAATTAAAAATTCTCAGTCAACTCATATTATCAAA